TGTCTCTGCAAGTGAAATCTGTGCGCTAGTTTCCATCTGTTTTTCTGCACATATGGCGTGAACGAGCCCTAAAGCCTATCAACACAAACCCTACATTTCAAATCTCACTGTACTAAACTAAACACTTCATTTTTGAAAATAAGGACTTTTATCCTGGGTTTTATCTTTGTGAATTGAGCGTATTGGGTTTAACTCATGTAATTGGCAATAACTTCTGATATTTATAAAATGTATTGTTTTAATTATTGTTACTTTTACAATTTTGTGATAGCTTTTATATTTTACCTTTTATATATATATATGTTTTGCTGTTCGTAATTTTAGTTATAGGATATTTATAACACTTACATCACCAGTCAATCAGGAGTATATCTTCTTCCTTGTTCAGTAAATATAGTGTTACGGATTCTTGCTTCTTTTTTTTTGCAATGCCTGTTCAATAAATGTTCATCTTAAAGTTTTAATGGCTTAACCAGTCTGGGGGCTCCCTATAAGCTTTAAAACTAAGCAATTTTAGGCATGCTCAAATGCAACTTGTTGCTAAGGGTGGCACCAGTAGTTTTACACCCTGATAATATAAAATCATATATATATATATATATATATATATATATATATATATATGAACATTTTCAACTAGTATGGTCTTTTACATAATAAATCCTTATGTGCTGTATTTCTTTTTTTTTTTAAGATATGCAGGCATATAATACCTAATAAAAAGAGCAAAGGGCAATGCCAGTAGCAGCCATTTAGATTGTACCAATGATTTTCTTGACTTTATAAACATTTAAATTGGTTGCTAGGCATAAAAATGAAATTATTATTATTATTATTATACAGTATTTATATAGCGCCAAAGGGTTTGCTCAGCACTGTACGATAGTGTGGGGACAGAACATGAGACAAAACAGTGCAATACAATACACAAGGGGTTCGAGGGCCCTGCTCTTTGGAGCTTACAATCTAGGAGGGAGGGGATAGTGGTACAGGAGGAAGTGGCTGTGGGGGATGGAGTGGTAGGAGGAGTGGAGGAGATCGGTTGTTAGGTGAGGGTGGGGTAGGTTTCCCTGAAGAGGTGGGTTTTCAGGGTGCGCCTGAAGGTGAGGAGGGTAGGTGATAGTCTGATGGATTGGGGTAGGGAGTTCCAGAGGATGGGAGAAGTCCTGCAGTCGGGCGTGGGAGAAGGAGACCAGGGAGCTAGAGAGTAGGAGGTCTTGTGAGGAGCGAAGGGCACCGGGCAGGGTGGTATTTGGGTCAGTGAGGTAGTTTGGGGCAGCGTTGTGAATGGCTTTGTATATCAGAGTTAGTAGTTTGAATTTAATGCGTTGGGTAATCGGGAGCCAGTGAAGGGATTGGCAGAGGGGGGAGGCAGATGTGGAGCGGTTGGTGAGGTGGATGAGTCTAGCTGCTGAGTTCAGGATAGAGTGGAGTGGGGATAGCGTTTGTTTGGGTAGGCCAGTGAGAAGAGAGTTGCAGTAGTCCAGGCGTGAGATGATGAGGGAGTGTACGAGTTGTTTAGCAGTGTCTGGGGTGAGGAAAGTACGTATCTTGGAGATGTTGCGGAGGTGGAGCCTGCATGACTTTGATAGTGATTGGACATGAGGTTGGAAGGAAAGGTTTGAGTCCAGGGTGACACCCAGGACTTTGGCGTGCGAGGTGGGATTGATGGTGGCATTGCTAGTCGTGATGGAGAGGATGGGGGAGGGCACGGGCTGGGGGGAAGACTAGGAGCTTGGTTTTGGACAGGTTTAACTTGAGGAAATGGAGCGACATCCAGTCTGATATGTCGTTCAGGAGGTGGGCGATGCGGGCAGAGAGTGAGGGGGTGACTTGAGGGGTATACCTAGGGTTTTAAAAGCAATTTGGGGTAGCATTAATAAGGGCTAGTATCATACTGTTGCAACCTGACATCACTCACACTCAGGCTAAATAAGCCCCCCTTCATGGCATCTTCACCAACATGTCAAAATCAGGCACATTTGCATACTGCTTGCAAAGTGCTTATGCCTTATATTTTGGGTGGAGACACACACAACCATGCACCAAAAAAAGAAATGATTTTGGTGGTTAGATTGCGACAGGTTTTACATCAATATGTCAAACTATTTTATATTATTTATAAAAAATGTCCTTCTGCAGAGTCTGTGACTAGTTAAAGCAATGGCTGTGGTATACTGAACTTGCATTCCATGTATACAGAATTGAGAAGACACTGCAAGTTAATAGAACTTTAATTACCATAGCACAGTGACTCAGTAAACAGACAGCATATTCCCAAATGAAAAGATTGCTTTCCCTGTGGCTGTGTGTTCTTTCTATTATTTCATCTGTGTCTAATCAGTGGAATTGACTGGCAGGAAACTGTGCCCTGGACATAATCAGTGTATACCTGAAATGAAAGTAAATGAAGTTCATGGAAAAATACATGCACATCAACCACACTACAGTAAAGACCATGTATTTAAATATAAAGTTTCACATGGATTGTTTAATCAGCATTTGTTCAAAAAGACACAGTATGTGTAAAGAAGTAAATATTGGGTGCAAAAATATAATGTTTAAAAGATCCGTACAAGATAACAAGTACATTCTTCCAATAAGAGGTAAGTTATGTAAATTCATTTAGTCATCATCTCTTCAAAAAATATCCCATGGCATTACTTTGCAGACAGAGGTTGAAAATCTGAAACAGGTGACTGTATATTTAACATTTGAGGCAACAACATTTTGATTGGTTATTTGCCACTGTTTATGAATCTCACATGAACTAATTTTAGCTCAGGCAAAGATGGTGGCTTGCATAAAAGTGGCCACCCGCCCAAGTCTATAACTGGCTTATGAAGCAAGGACACATAAACAGGCATCACATAGTGATGCCTGTTTATGTGTCCTTGCTTCATAAGCCAGTTATAGACTTGGGCGGGTGGCCACTTTTATGCATGTTTGAGTTTGTGGTACGTGGGTGCACTAGGGCCCTGGTTGCCATTGTGCTACATGCTGGGGTCCAGTGCACTCCTTTGCCTTTAAGAGTGGTGGCTCCCTCAGGTCCACCTGCCCTTGATCTATCCATTAAATGCATGTGCCTCTACTATGGGGACTCATAAATTTTAGAGTTAGGACCACAGATGATCAGGGTGCCGTGTCGTGGCTCTGTGGCTTACGTATGTATTTGCAAATGTGTGCTAACTAAACCCTGTTATAAACGCATACTGTTAGACAAGTTAATTCGGTTGTTAGCAAGCTGGCTGGCAAGTTGTCCAAGAACATTGTTCTCTCCCCCTTTTTTTCACTTTCAAGATGGTGGCTTGACCTGTACCATGATCTACTGTAGCTAAGCAGGATACAGCATGCTAGTAAATATGTGGTGTTAATCAGCACATCCTGTAAATTCAATAAGGACTGACCCAAGCAATCCAAACCAGATAGGCAAACAGGTCAGAGTTGTAGCTCTCCAATATACCTTTATTTAAATAAGTCAGCAAACAACAGCATGTATATGAAGCAGTGTCTGATTTTTGCTTACGCTAGCGCCTAATCATATTAGAGCCCTGAACACAAATCAGATGAAAGAAAAGCTTTCCACCATTCGCATGGGTTATGAGATCGACATCAAGGGCTATTATACTTTTCAAATCTTTTATGTTATTTACATCTTAAAATGCCCGTGTGGCTTGTGCTTCTTCAGTGTGATTATTCAGAAAACAATAGCTTAGATAGCCCATCATAAATAATTTATTAGGGATAATACACTGAGCTTACAGTTGCTACACATTATACACACTACATAGAAAACACACTCTGTATCCCAACCTAAATATATGGTATATATAGTTATTGATCATATCCCACCACTATGGAGGGGAGGTATTAGGGAACTTAATTTTCATAACATTTAGTGGATTAATTGTCTGTTGGAATGTTGACCTGGAAACATTTACTGTGTATATATATATACATATATTATAATATTATAGCACCCTCCTATTTTAGCTAGGGAGTTAGGGAGCTAGATCCTAATGGTTAGCAAGGAGTTGGTTATCAGCTCAAGTGTAATAGCCAGAGGGGTCAAATTGTGGTCAGGGCTGAGAGATTCTGCAAGCCATCCCCTGTGGAATTTCTTCCTGCTCTGAGGCTTTCAAAGGAGGGCCTTGGAGGCCAATCCCCAACTGAAGGCTTGGCAAGGGACTGGGACTCCCTTAAAAGTGTAGGAGCCTGCTCAGTAGCAGGAGTGTGGTGGTGGGAGAGGTGTCGAGAGTTGGATGAAGATGTTAGGCTGGAGGAAGAAGGCTACCAGAAAGCCTAGTGGGATGGGGTCTGCCTGTGAGCCTGGAGCTGGGAAGGGGGTATAACCCAGGACTCACTGGCCTCCTGAGTGAGGCCCACCTATATGGCAGGGAAAGAGCAGCCCAACTGATGGTAGCAGCAGCCAACCCACAAGCGGTACAGGAGAGGATCTGAGAGAGTACACTTGCACCCCCTGGGCAGATAGGGGGAGGAGCACTCTGGTGGGAAACCAGATTAGCCCAATACTAGTGACTGTTCAACTCATTTAAAGGGACTGGAGACAGATCCCCTGCTCAGGAAACGTCTCCAGATTACTGGGTGAAGAGGAGTTTGTCTAAGGTCTGGGGTGGTACAACAAGGAGACGCTTGCTAGCTCTCCAACAGAGACTGTGTTGCAGAAAAGAAGCTTGTGAATAGTTACAGGACGTTTTTCCTCAGTTGTCGGTTCCCTTGGGCATCTTATACCTCCGTACCCTATCCAAATTTTAATCCCCTCAATAAAATACAAAACAAATGCTCAAGGACTGATCTCTGGCTCAGAATGCAAGCTTGTGTGGAGAATTCAGATTGCCTGGCAGTGCAGAACTGTAGGGGGACCCAATTCATCAGCAACCCCTATATATATACACTATATTAGCTAAAAGTATTGGGACATCACTCCAAATCATTGGATTCAGGTGTCCCAATCCCCTCCATGGCCACAGATGTATAAAATAAAGCACCTAGGCATGCAGACTGTTTCTAGAAACATTTGTGAAAGAATGGGTTGCTCTCAGGAGCTCAGTGAATTCCAGCATGATACCGCGATAGGTTGCCACCTGTGCAATAAGTCCATCCGTGAAATTTCCTTGCTACTAAATATTCCACAGTCAACTGTTAGTGATATTATAACAAAGTGGAAGCAACTGGGAACAAAAGCAACTCAGCCACGAAGTGGTAGGCCATGTAAAATGACAGAGTGGGGTCAGCGCATGCTTAAGCGCACAGTGCGTAAAACTCGCACTCTATCTACAGAGTCAATATCTAAAGACCTCTAAACATTGTGTGGCCTTCAGATTAGCATAACAACAATGCGTAGAGAGCTTTATGGAATGGGTTTCCGTGGTCGAGCAGCTGCATCCACGCCTTACATCACCAAGTGCAATGCAAAGTGTTGAATGCAGTGGTGTAAACCATGCCGCAGTGGAGATGTGTTCTCTGGAGTGACGAATTACACTTCTCTGGCATTCTGATGGACGTGTCTAGGTTTGGCAGTTGCCAGGAGAATGGTACTTGCCTGACTGCATTGTGCCAAGTGTAAAGTTTGAGTTTGGTGGAGGGAGGATTATGGTGTGGGTTTGTTTTTCAGGGGTTGGGTTTGACCCCACAGTTCCAGAGAAGGGAACTCTTAAGGCATCAGCATACCAAGACATTTTGGACAATTTCATGCTTCCAAATTTGTGGGAACAGTTTGGGGATGGCCTCTTCCTGTTCCAAAATGACTACACACCAGTTTACAAAACAAGGTCCATAAAGACATGGATAAATGAGTTTGGGGTGGAGGAACTTGACTGGCCTGCACAGAGTCCTGACCTCAATCTGATAGAACACCTTTGGGATGATTAGAGTGGAGACTGCGAGCCAGGCCATCTCGTCTGACATCAGTGCCTGACCTCACAGATCCAGAGGCCAGGAGTGGGCTATAGAGCAGGGGGCTCTGACTAAAGGTTGAGTGAGCCAAGACAGCCATGAGAGCTGGGCAATACTGGTAAGAAGAACAGCGGTGCTGCTGACAAGGGAACCAGGTGGCTTGGCATTTTCAATTTATGTTTTGATGTTAAACAATTCCTGTGTGGGAATCTGTTTATGGACTTTATGTAGTAAAAGTGCATTGCTGTGCCCTAAGGTACAATTTGGACTGACACTTCTCATTGGTAAATGCACTTACCACATGAGCATAATCAACACACCACAATATATATATATATATAGTCACTCCTGAATCAACAGCATACTACTACATATTATGATGCATTCTATTTTTAGGTGCATTAGTAGACATGCATACAGTTTCTAACTGTTTCTGTGTCTTTATAAAGGACTGAAAGAATGTACTGGTGTATTCTGAACATTAGCCAAGTCAGTTTTAGTTGAAACTCATAGAGATGCATTTTGCATAATCTTTTCCTTTCCCTTTTTACCCCTACAGCTATGAATGTTACCATAACCATTTTTATGGTCACAGTTTCATCAGTTTTACAATTATTTTTACTTAGCAGGAATTGCTCAAGAACTTCATCATAAACAGCAGAAACTTTGTCTAACCTAAGACAAGTAACATTTTTAACTATCAATTATAAGGAACCATTCTAAAGACCATTATAGAGATAATACTAAAAGAGAAATGCTGAAGGCAATGTCACATAGGCTTTCTAATACTTGTGACATTTTGGTAATTCAACATGATAATGAACAGTAATTAGCTTGTAAGTGAGTCTCAAACCTGTCACATTGCTTTTCCTTATTGAACAATGCTCTCCTGTCACTTGTGGCCGTACATTAGTCATCTATTACCAAACCATGAGCACAAGATAATAATAATTCTTTTTTCAACTTGTTTTGTTTTTCTGTTTTAATTAGCTCATCTTATCCATTAAAAAGGTAGGACTTGGTAATAAAACCTTGCATAGATTTAGAGAATTCACTATAAAAGTGAACTGATACATTCATTTTCAGTTGCACTCTGAACTAGGGGTGAGTAGGTTCAGGTCTACTATGAGTTTGACCTAAACCCACTCTGTTTGCAATTTAGGAAGAAGTAAACAAACTGGATGAATTTAGCCAGTTTACCTGCCCAAACCTCTGAGAGATGTTTGTAAGCAAAGATCTGTTGTAAGCCTGTGATATAGTAGTGATAGCAATACTAATGATGTCAAATGATGGATTGCTGACACTGCTGGTATATAAACAACAGAGACAGAGATCCTGGGTGACTTAATTGACAAAAATATGATCATGACCATATCTGATCAATGACATTACTTGGGATCCACTCCACTGTGTTTATATTCAAAGAGAGGCAGGGAACTGTTGTTTGCAATGGAAGCAGCGGTGGGGCAGCATTGTCATGACAGTGGGTCTTCAGGCATCATTAAGCATGATTGACACTTATCCTACATCACTGGAAGACATGATAGATTTTTTTTTTTTTTTTTTTTTGGGGGGGGGGTTCTTTAAATAAAGGATTTATTGTTCTACATTGTAGTGACAGCACTGACTGGCGGCACTGACAGCACTGATGGGTGGCACTGATGGGCACTGCTGGGTACTTTTGGGGCCGCACTGATAATCAGGGCACTGATAATCAGTGCTCTGATTATCAGTGCAGATGTCCTCTGTGACACTTGCCAGTTATTGGCAGTACTTTCCTCACGTTGTGACAGTGTGAGGAAAGTGCTGCTGATAACCGGAAACTGTATTGCTGATCACGTGGTAAAAGGCCGCTGTGATTGGCCTTTTACCTTGTTATTCGGCTATAGTACGGTTGTAAAGTGGCTAAGGTATGTAGATTACATGTTAATCATGAAAAGCAACACCTGGCAAACAGAACAGCAGTCCTGCCACTATTATTGTTGCAAATGAACTGTTTGCCGATCAGCAGCTACAGGCAAAGCAATGTTCGAGTACTTTGTTCTGGCTGTACTAACATAGGGGGGCACTGCAGGCCCCCACCAGACACAGTAGAATGAAGATCCCAATAAACAGGACCCAGTGATCATGTGATCACTATGCAATCCAATGATCACAATGTTAGCAAAGCTGTTTTGAATCAGTCTGATTCATAACAGCTCTGCTTCTCTTCCTGGTGAGCTGTGATTGGCCCACATGGGGCCAACCACAGCACCCTGTACCATGTGACCAGCTCCAGCCAATCACAGATCACGATTATTTTGAACTTAATTCATGACAGTTCAAAGCAAGCTTTGCTATGCAGAGCAAAAACCTTTATTGCTCCTGCCAAGCAAAGTGTAAAAAAAAATCCCTGATCACCCCCTCAGAGTAATGCATGTAAAAAAAAAATATTTTATCTTTTTTTTTTTTTTCATTTTTTTTAAATTACTTTTATCAGAGTTGTACAATGTTACCATAGTACCATAGTAACATTGTACAACTCTGATAAAAGTAATTAAAAAAAATGAAAAAAAAAAGCTAAAAAAAATTTTTTTTAAAGAATTTTTTTAAAAATATTTACCTTACCTCCTTCTGAACCCCCCCCCCCCCCCCGTAGATCCAGGGAGACAGGGAGAGAAGAGATAACACTGTGAGTAAAAGCACTACATTTTACATGCACACGTTAGATTAGCACATTTAACCCTTTGATCGCCCCTATTAACCCTTTGATCACCCCATTACCCAGCCAGTGCCATTAGTACAGTGTCAGTATATAATAATTTTAGTAATAGTAATTTTTCACTGATCACTGTATTACTGCCACTAGCAACATTAGACAACATCAGGGTCTGTAAGCTCCTCTCCCAGCTAGCATTATATTGCCTGCACACTATCGCACTCACGCTATAGGATGCTGATCACCGCCATGACTTGTATAGTGTTTGTACAGATCAATATATTGATCCTGAACAGAACTATACTGGTACCTCCTTGGTATAGTGTTCCCAAAAGCACAGTGTTAGCAGGATCAGCCCCGTTCACTGCCAGCACTAGCGTTTAGCCCCTCTGCTGTTTTTAACAGAAGATTTCTATCCATTGATTGTGGGCCAAAGCAATTTATACAAACAACAATACATCGTCACCCATCCAAATTCTGCTCTTGCCAGACAATTTGCATGAAAATACTGTCAACATGGGTATTACAGATAATAATGAATTGCGGTCATATTGGTCCACAGAGCTGATTCATCATATGCCAATGTTCTCTGCTGTTACATACAATACATTGCCAAAAGTATTGGGACACCCCCTCCAAATCACTGGATTCAGGTGTTCAAATCACCTCCACAGCCACAGGTGTATACAATCAAGCAACTAGGCATGCAGACTGCTTCTACAAACATTTGTGAAAGAATGGGTCACACTCAGGAGCTTAGTGAATTCAAGCGTGGTACCGTGATAGGTTGCCACCTGTGCAATAAGTCCATCCATGAAATTTCCTTGCTACTAAATATTCCACAGTCAACTGTTAGTGGTATTATAACAAAGTGGAAGCAACTGGGGACAATAGCAACTCAGCCACGAAGTGGTAGGCCACATAAAAAATGACAGAGCTGGGTCAGCACATGCTGAAGCGCATAGTGTGCAAAAGTTGCCAACTGTCTGCAGAGTCAATAGCTTAAGACCTCCAAAATTCATGTGGCATTCAGATTAGCACAACAGTGAATAAAGAGCTTCATGGAATGGATTTCCATGGCTGTGCAGCAGCATCCAAGCCTTACATCACCAAGTGCCATGCAAAGTCTCAGATGCAATGGTGTAAAGCATGCTACCACTGGACTCTATAGCATTGGAGATGTGTTCTCTGGAGTGATGAATCCCGCATCTCTGTCTGCAAATCCGATGGATGTGTCTGGGTTTGGCAGTTGCCAGGAGAATGATATTTGCCTGACTGCATTGTGCCAAGTGAAAAGTTTGGTGGAGGGGGAATTATGATGTGGGGTTGTTTTTCAGGGGTTGTGCTTGGCCCCTTAGTTCCAGTGAAGGGAACTCTTAAGGCATCAGCATACCAAGACATTTTGACAATTTCATGCTCCCAACTTTGTGGGAACAGTTTAGGGATGGCCCCTTCCTGTTCCAACGTGACTGCACACCAGTGCACAAAGCAAGGTCCATAAAGACATGGATGGGTGAGTTTGGGGTGAAGGAACTTGACTTGACCTCAACCCGATAGAACACCTTTGGGATGAATTATAGAGGAGACTGCAAGCCAGGTCTTTTCTTCTGACATTAGTGCCTGACCTCTCAAATGCGTTTCTGGAAGAATGGTCAAACATCCCCATAGACATACTCCTAAACCTTGTGGACAGACTTCCAAGAAGAGTTGAAGCTGTTATAGCTGCAAGACTGGGGTCTTATAGACTAAGACTGGGATGTCATTAAAATTCATGTCTGTGTAAAGGCATCCCAATACTATGGCAATATAGTATATATGCCCAACAACATACTGGTACATCACTGGACTTTGAGAGATTATACTGGGATGACGCCTGCAGCTACAAACATCATCCTGGTATCTTTTTTTCAGCTGACAGTTGGCTTTAATGTAAAAGCAATCCTAGCAGCTAATTAGCCACTGGATTGTTTTCACAAGCAGTGCGAAGGGAAATCCCCCCTCCTGCCTCCTTCCACAGATTTCTTGGGCTCTCCTGTCCCACAGGGGAATCTGGGAATGCAGCCAGCAGTTCTGGCTGACCAGAGTTGATCAGAGACCAGAATGGCTCCAATCATCTCTATAGTCTAAGAAACCGGAAGCTACGAGCATTTCATAATTCCCGTTTCAGCAGATATTTACAGCGCCATTTTTAAATTGGGAAAGCATCTGATCACACTGATCTTGGTATGATCAGATGCTTTAAGAGCAGAGGAGAGATATAGAGTCTGATAGACCTCAGATTTCTCAGAAAAGAGTATCTGACATTGTCTACTGCTATCACAGGGGATATTTACATTCCCTGTGATAACAATAAAAGTGCTTAGAAAAAAAAGAGACAATGTAAAAAAATAAATAAATACAAAATAAAATCATTAAGATTCAAAAGATGTATTTTCCCCAGAAAATTTGCATTTATAAAATCACAGCGCAAATACTGTGTGACATAAAAAGTTGCAATACCCACCATTTTATTTTCTAGAGCCATTGTTTTTAAAAAAAATATAATGTTTGGGGGTTCAAAGTAATTTTCTAGCAAAAAAATGTTTTTTCATGTAAACAAAAAGTGTCAGAAAAGGCTTGTTCTTCAAGTAGCTAGAAGAGTGGGTGATGTATGGCAGAAGCTTCTAATAATGGCCCTGAAATGCCAGGATAGTGGAGCCCCCCCTCCAAATGATCCCTTTTTTTGAAAGTAGACACTCCAAGGTATTTTCAAAGGGGCATGGTGAGTATTTTGCAGATCTCATTTGTTGTCACAAGTTTTTGGAAAATGAAGAAAGAAAACAAAAATGTATTTATTTTTTTTTTTTTCTTTTTCAAGTAAAAGAAAAATCTCTGCTCAAATACTGTGTGACATAAAAAGTTGCAGCACCCACCATTTTATTTTCTAGGGCCATTGCTTTAAAAACAAATATAATGTTTGGGGGTTTCTAGTAAAAAAAATTTTTTTCATGTAAACAAATTGTGTCAGAAAAGGCTTGTTCTACCATAACCACTTGCCCTCAGGAAGATTTACTCCCCTTCCTGACCAGGCCACTTTTTGATATTCAGCACTAAGCTATTTCAACTGGTTATTTCGTGGTCATGCAATGCTATACCCAAATTCAATTTATGACCTTTTTTCACACAAATAGGGCTTTCTTTGGTGGTATTTGATCACCACTGGTTTCTTATTTTTTGTGATATAAATGAATAAAGATCTAAAATTTTCATTAAAAAAACTATATTTTCTACTTTCTATTATAAACAAAATCCAATAAACTCAAATTTAGGAATAACTTTAGGCCAAAATGTATTCTTCTACATGTCTTTTGTAAAAAAAAAAATCCCTATATGTGTATATTAATTGGCTTGTGTGAAAGTTATAGAATCAACAAACTTTGGTATATATATTGAAATTTGCGCAGCTTTCACTTTCTTACTGCCTATCACATTTCTTGAGGTGCTAAAATGCCAGAGCAGTACAACCCCTCCAAATGAACCCTTTTTGGAAAGTAGACACCCCAAGAAATTTGCTGAAAAGTATCTTGAGTTCATGGAATATTTTATTTTTTTTCACAAATTTTTGGAAAATTACACAAAGTTGTCACTTAAATGATATATTGCCATGGCTATATGTGAAATAACATCCCAAAACACATTCTAATGCTTTTCCCGAGTATGGGGATACCACATGTGAGAGAATTTTTGACAGCCTAGCCACATACATGTAGTGTTCTCTCTTCTCTCCCTGGCCTGACAAGGGTGACAGGGGGGCAGAGGAGGGGGCGCATATGCTTGCTTGCTTATACCTGGAAATAGAAAGCGGCGTAAGGGTACACCACTTTGCCTAGAGCTGCCACTCACATGCACATGTGTGTGGGCAGTCAGCAAGTAGTTAAAAAAAAACACTTTACAATGCAGGTGCAATAAAGATCATTGCACATGCAATACAATGCTTTCTTTGAACTGTCATGAATGGGTTACGTTCACGACAGTTCAAAATACTAGTGATCTGTGATTGGTTACAACTAATCACATGTTACAGGGTGCTGTGATTGGCCCATGTACCATGTGAGAGCTGAGGGCCAATCACAGCTTGCTAGGGGAGCTGTGATTCATAACAGCTTTGTTGACATTGTGATAGTGATCACATAATCACCAGGTCCCGATTACTAGTATGCGCATTTGGACACAGTGGTTGTGGGGGTGTGATGTGCCCCTGTGTTTGTACAGCCAGAGCAACGTACAAGTTCTTTGGGTGGGCAGCAAGTGGTTAACAGAGTATACCATACTGGTGCACAATTCACTTGCAAGTTTAAGGCACCCCAAAACATGTCATTTAACCACTTTCCCACCACCCTATAGCAGATATACTGCTACAGGGTGGCAGAGGTGTGCAAAATCATGTATATATATTTTTGCATTTCCGGGTAGGCGGCACGTGTGAGCTGAGCTCTTGCCCTACCCACACTACACTGTTCGCAGCTGTCAATCACTGGGTCCTGCCTGGTGATTACTCGCCAGCACCTGGGAATAAAGGAGCATTGCCGATGCAGGGAGAGAACTGTATGTAAACAATACATTTTTCTCCCCTGTCAGCCCCTGCACACGGCTTTGCATGGCTCTGCATAGCATAGTCCTACTATGAGTTGCTGATCGCTGCCATTACTAGTAAAAAAAAAAAATACCAGTATATATACTGCCATTTTTAAATGTTATAACTTTCACATAAACCAATTAATGCACACATATTGGGATTTTTTTTTTAGCAAAGACATGTAGCAGAATACATTTTGGCCTAAATTTATGACAAAATTTGATTTTTACATTTTTTTTTACTGGACATGTTTAATAGCAAAAAGTCAGAAATATTGTTTTTTTTCTCTAAAAAATGCACAGATGATCAAATGCCACTGAATGAAAGCTCTATTTGTGGGAAAAAAAGGATGTAATTTTAATTTGGGTGCAGCATTGCATGACCGCACAATTGTCAGTTAAAGTACCGCAGCACTGTAACGCAAAGAACGGCCTGGTCAGGAAGGGGGTAAATCCTCTGGAGGGCAAGTGGTTAAAGGATTTATATATTTTTAATGTTGCCCTTTAAACCCCATTAAAGACTGCACACTCGTGAGGTGTCTATGCATGCTCTGACAATATGAGTATTCCTGCTCAGGAACCAGTCATCTTCGGGAAGTGATATATGCCAATATATCCAGCCACAATCTTATTGAGTTTGCTTAAAACAGAGTTTGGCTTTCAACTCCCTGTTGCCAGATTTTGTGCAAATTTCATCAAGTTTCCTTTTAAGACGTCATCTACTTGTTGCATTGTTCAGTAGTGTGCAATCTTTCTCTATGGGAGCTATTGATTAAGATGATCTAAATCTAGGAACAATTGACTTTCATTTGATTAGGCTTGGATTTAGAATACAATATTTAAGCAAGCATAATGATTTAGTGAGTAAAATATCCATGTGAAAACAAAAGTGAAATTAGGGCCAGTCAATCTCTATGTTGAATTTCAGACAACTAAACAATAAGGGTGTTTTTGCCAATAATGATGACTTTCTTGTGGTAGCCTGTCCTTTTTCCATTTGTAGTAAATGCACACTACAGAACAAAAAAATAGGTCCAATGTCTGGTTATGAATGCATTTATTTTCATATGCTTTTAAATGTTATTCATTTTTATGTAAATGCTCATTTTGGACAATACAATTTACTCTGGATTATTTTGTATATCAGTAAACATCTTATTATAAATTTGGATTTGAAATTAGAGTGTATCTGAGAATTCTAGATCAATAGCTGTACTTAATCATATCGACGGTATTGCTTTATGTAGTAGTGACACATTTTACAACAAATAGATTGAATAATTACAGAAATCCCTGGCCATTCTGTTACCACTAATGCAGATCAGTAAGAGTGCAATGGATCATTACATCAATGTTAGAAAAACAGAAGTTAGTGGACCTTATTTGTTTCTTGTGTACCAAGGTGCAGGAGTACAATGTAATTGGAGATGACACACTGTAATTACAGGCATTTTTCTAAATGTCGAGCACGTTAGCATTTTACTAATATAATGAAATACATTTAGATTAATCATTTTGTGTTCATAGTGCAGTCTGTACATATTATACAATTAA